GTAGCTGAGAGAGGGAGGAGTACTTAGATACCCATTTCAGTTAATTGGGGACAGTCTTTGAATCTGAATTAGAGTGTGACACCAGTAGTGTCTCAGGCTTTGCTGAGTGTGAAGTCTGAAACCCATTGCAGTAGCTGTCTGCTGGTCTGCCGTGGTATTTTTTCCCTGTATTTTAGTGAAGGGTCTACAGGGTGTTCAGGGTCTCACTACTAGATCAGACTCCTAGTGATCCGCCTGTTTTCAGCCTCCCAAGAGCTGGGATTACAGGCGCGTACCACCACGTCCACCTCTCACTGATGTTTTCTTATTTGCCCTAGAAGTGTAGGAGGGTGAGGGGGAAACTGCAGCATAGGGCCGTGGCAGAGTCCTGGGAAGCTGGTAGCTGCAGCCCCACTACTGCCCCACCTCCCTCCCTTCCCTCACTCTCTCCCTGTCCCCCTTCTCTCCTCCTGCCTCCTCTTCTCCCCTCTCCTTCATTCTCTATTGTGCAGTACTAGGAACTGCACCCAGGGCCTTCACACTGAATTACAATCTCAGTCCTTTTTCTTTTTGAGTCAAGGTCCCTCTAAGTGCTCTGTTGCCCAGGCTGGGCTCAAACTTACAACCCTCCTGCCTCAGCCTCCCAGAGTGCTCAGATTCCAGGCCCCACCACACCTGGCTGAGCCCTGCTCTACTGGACCAGCCCCACTACTGCCCCACCTCCCTCCCTTCACCATCACCAAGCTGGACCAGCAGGTTTACCACAGGCGCCTTCTCAGAGCCAGTTAAACCAGACTATAGGGCCAGGTATACGTGTCAGTTAGGTCAGTTTTGGCCCAGTACATGTTCCATAAAATTGTTTTCTTCTTCACAAATAGCTTCTTCCTTCACAAGTCAATGCCTCAAAAGCAAGGCATTAGGAGGAAATTGCAATAGGGTGGTGTGGTGCAGTCGATCACTCATCATGAGTTATGTGTGCGCAGCCAGCAGATGCAGATGTGAAGGTCGCCCTTCAGGAGGACTCAGCCCAGCACTCTCAGCCTGTGCCGCCCTGTGCATGGGGTGTGTGTGCATGGGTGTGCATGTGTGCATGGGTGTGCGTGCTTTGTCAGAAGCACGCTGCGCTACAAGCACAGCCCCTGAGCTTCCCGGCCCCTCCGAGGCACGTTGGTGCTGGCCGATGTCTGGGTTCCAAGTAGCAGGTGAAGGCACGGAGCAGGACCTGCTGCTGCTTTCTGCTGGGCCCTTTCTTGGGGGCAGCTGTTAGGCGTCTGAGTACTTAGGGGAGGGTCCAAAGCAAGAGCAGCATCTGCGGGCCTGTGAAGGCACAGTGTGGACCCCGGGGTTCCAGCGTCCGTGCTCTGGGAGGCGGCTCTGCTGCCCTGTGCGCCCCAGGCTGCTCTGTGCCACGCAGCTGTGGAGTCTTGTGTGCTAACAGCCTGACCAGCTGCATGGGGGAGCTTGGCTGACCCTGGGTCAGGTTTGTGTGCATTTGTCCCCCCCAAAGCCTCATGCAGTCATTGAGGTACAGTTCTACAGTCTGTGATTAATTCATGAGCCAAGGCTGGGATTACAAATCTGAGTACCGCTGGGATTATGGTTCTGAGTGAGTGCTACACCAGCCTGGGGCTGATAGCCTGAATGTAACATAAGAGAGACAGAGACAGTCTTACCCTCTGTGGCCGTTGTTACTCCTCCCTTTTCTCCTGCTGTTCGCTGCCTTCTGCCTCCATGAACTGCTGCCCTCTGCCATGTACCTCACTGCCTTGGAGCCAGCTGAGTGTAGACTGAAACCTCCAGGAACTGTGAGCTCAATAAACCTTTCCTTCCTCAATTTTGAGTGTCAGGTATTTATCCCAGTCATGAGAGAAGAGTAACCGAGACACCCTGCAACCTGTTCAGTGCTGACCCAGGCCTCTGCCTCTCTGACAGGGCTGAGCAGACGCAGGCCCTGCTGAGCGTGCACAGGCCGTGCCCTGCCGTGGTAAAGATTCACCCTTGCTGATGCTGGAAACCCAACTGCAGCTCAGGCCCGAAGTTTACCAAGCTGTCCTGGTTTCACCTTGGCGTGAGTGGGTGGCAAGACACAGCAAAGACACAGGAGGAACCAGGACGAGAGAGCTGCTACTGGAAGGAATCTAAAATCTGATACATTAAATAGGCTTACAACCTTCAGAACTTTCTTCTTGCCATCAGTTTTATTTTGGAGTCCTTGTCCTCCTACCTTCCCCCATAAATGGAAAATACATTCCCTTTAAAGCACTTGGTGCTGTTTCCCTAGCAGATGTGTTCCAGGTTTAATTTCATTCACCTCGAGAATGACTTCAAGTGTGCATCACTTATATTAGGAGAAATGAAGCCAGGGTCTTTAGAGCTCCTTGTTATCTGACCACAAAATTGCACACAGCCTCTATTATCTCCCCCCCAGCCCCAGTGTGGTTGGGCAGGATAGAGCACTTAGACATTCAGACAGGACAGCGATGCCACCGACAGCTTATCTCACAAATATGAGTTTGGGGATTTTTGAAAATTAACTGTTGCTTCCCGTCTTAAAGCTGAAGTCGTAAGGAAAGAAATTACTTTGACCATGGAGATGTTTAGAAACGGAAATAAAGGCTACACTGACATGAACCCTAGAGTTCCACGGCTGGTCCCAGCAAGCTGCCCTGGAGAACTCGGTCCCGCCTCCCGGGCAGGACGTGGAGCCCCTACAGCAAAGGGTGAGGCACAACACGCACGCAGCTGGTGCGGCTCTGACCCAGCCCCAGCTCCTTGCAGGTAGAGCGCCTTATAGTTTCCCAAGCCCGGAGCAGATGCGTCCGTGAGGTGCTCGAGCAGCGGCTGCGGTGGGTTTGCTTATCGCATGACTGAAGCCAGGGAAGCCGGAGTTGTCCACAGCGCCGTCTCTGGAGAGCACCCTTCACCGGGTGGTGTTGCTATAAACCCTGCCTGTGTTTCCATAAATTATTAGCAGGTCAAGCAAGAGTGACACAACTGAAATGTAAAGTGATATATGTGATACCCTTCATCAGGTGGTGCATTTGTCTTTATGTAACTTATTACTAGGTTGTGTATGAACGGCACTGCCATGCTATCGCTACCAGTATGTTACGTGTAAGTTGATCCCTCTCCGTTTGCCATGTCAAAAGACCTCTCGGAGATTCCTTCCCTCCCAGCTTCAGTCAGCCCTTCTTTGAATCTGGTCAGTGAATGTTTCTGCCGACACCAGCGCAGTTCTCTGGTCACTGGTCTCTCTTGGTCCCGGCCCTGGGATCCTAAGGGCCTGTGGGGCTGAGGTCGAGGCTGAGGCTGAGCACTCTGCTGACCTCTAGGCTGCCAGTGCGTGCACCCCGTGTGCCCTCACAGCCTCTCCTGTGCCCACTAACTCTCTGAAGGCGACTGGGCTCCAGCTGTCCAACTGCCTTCAGCGCTGCCAGCATCCCGCACCATCGGCCACTCAGCCCCGAGCTGCTGGCTGTACGGCTGTCTCCTTCGGCTGGAAAATCACAGAGCTGGTATGCACTCTGCAGCCAGCCCAGCAGGAAGGCAGCTTCGGCTGCTGGGTGGTGGACTTTATCAATCCACTCCTCGAGGCTGAGCACAGTGCACTAGAAACACGTAATTCCCGTAACGTGAGGCTTAAAAACTTGGGGTGCTCGTAAGCCACTGTAAGCTCCTGAAGGAAACATCACCCAGAAGCAGCTGTGTTGTCAGAGAAGCCTAGAAGGGTCTGAGTGGCTCTATGAAACTGCGTGACAGCGTGGCCCAGGACTCTCCCTGCGGAAATGGCCCCGAGTTCTGGACCACAAGTGTGCCCCACCAGGCACCAGGACAGCTGTTTTACACAGGAGGAAACGGAGGCCAAGAAAGGCATCTGCAGACAGAGAGCTGGAAATCATGCCAGATCTGGTCTCTGAACAACTATGCTTGGCCCATGGTCCTAGTGGTGCAGTCGCTGGGCTGTGCAGAGGATGGGTGGGGAGGGGGCTTGGGGGTGTAAGCCTGGGGTTGGAACTTAGCCTCTGGTCTCAGGGCCTTACTTGTGCCCGGGAACTCTGCCTCCTGGAATCTCTAGAGACCGTGGGAGTGCAGGAAGGTGGGGCCTGTGTGTCTCCAGTGAGACAGCCTGTGTCTGGTCACCCTGAGACACAGCAGACACTGCGTGGAAGGGGCCCCGGCACCCCGAGCACTGTGGCATGTCTCCCCTATCAAATGCCCTGCCCTTCTCGCCCATCGCCTGGAGACAGAAGAGCAGCGTTCCCGAGCGACCCCCTTGCAGGCCTTTAGGTGGCCAGGGTGGCAGTGATTTGTTGAGCTTCCCGTTGCGCCGTGCCAGCTGCCTGCCAGGTTCTTGCTGCCCGGGCTGGATTTGACTCAGTTCCTCACTGTGCTGCAGTGCAGGAGGAGGTGGCAGGTAGAGGGCGTGGACTCAGGACCAAGATGCCTCCCTGGCTCCGGCACACTCACCCAGCAGCCCGGAGCGTCACAGAGACTCTTAGGTGCATTTCTCTGGATGAAACTTTCTCTTTTTCTTGTAAACGTTGCTCTTAGGATGCAGAATGGAAAACTGTGAGTCCTGCTTCAGCAAAGACTTCTGTACCAGGTGCACAGCCGGCTCCTATCTGCACAGGGGCCGCTGCTTCAGGGAGTGTCCAGATGGCTTCGCCCCCTCGGACGACACCCTGGAATGTGTAGGTGAGTGGCCCCCAGGCGGCCTCACACTGCCGCCCTCATCCCTGCTCCTGGAAGGCAGGGATGCAGGGTATGGGACAGCAGACAGCTTCTCTTGTTAGTTGCAGAAATTCGTTTCGTTGCTTTTTAAACTCCTTGCGCATCATACAACATCTGGGTTCAAAATGTGCTAGTTGTACATTTAATAAATTAGTGCACTTAAGCACTGCCGATGTGGTGAGATGCCGCACTAAACGACATACTGTGGTGACCCCACTCAGGATCCCTCGCTCACGGTCACACACGCAGCCCGTCATCCTGGCCGCCTTCCGAAGCTGCCCCGGCCCCCTTGTGGCTGCTTCTAGCTCTGAGTCCTCTCACCATGCTTTCCACTGGTGATGCCTTTGGGGAAGGGGCTGTGGGCTGGGGAGCGAGGGAGGAGGACGCAGCGCGCCCGCTGGCTGGGAGGGCCTGTCCACGACGGCTGGATGCAGTTTGATCGAAGGGTCTGGGAGCCTTTACATCAAGCCCTTGCTAATCGCACGGCTGCTCGACCCCAAGATGCTGCTCCGAGCTGCAACACCCGGCCCGTGCCATCGCTCTGGCGATGTCCTTCACTATAACACATCTAATGTCGCGTTTTAGTCACTGCGTGTCTGTAGACAGTGACTGCGCTCCTTGTGGGGTGGCCCACGCGCAGAACACGTCCCAGTTCTTCTTCATCCGTCCCCATCTCTCAGTCCCCTTCCCATTTGCAAAGGGTTCCACACCCTGTTCCTGTCATCTCTCACTGAATTTGTTCTTTATTTGTGTTTTGGATTTCTCCAATGAGAGAAACCATGCAATATTTAAGCTTGTGTCTGATTATGTTTTTAATTTAAACATTTACCATATTTTATCATCACTTGCACATCTGTCTCTTATTATCTTAATACATTACTGATAGTTGTTAGAGGAAAGCATTTTGCTTAGGAGATTAGGAGAGGCACAGAGCTTTGCAAGCAGCACCGTGTTATGTAGCCATTCGGTTGCTGATGGTGAAACGAAAGGATTGTGGAGCTTCTCGCTTGGCCAATTCTATAAAAGATAAATGAACTGAAATAAGTTTTTGTGCCAAATATATGTCGTTGACAATTGCATTGATGTTGCAAATAATTTTTACTGTTAAAATGTAAATTTAGATTCCTAGAACACATTATCTAATATATACATACTATTTGTGAAAAAATTAGGAAAATACATCTCACGCATTTCTTAGTGTTTGTAAAATGCTGTGAGATTTTTAAAGCACAGGTGGCAGGTCAGGCCTGTCAGCCGCTACCCCTCAGTCTGAGCCCGGCACAAAGCCCGCCACAGCCTGGCGACTGGCCCTCTGCCTGCCTTGCAGCTTGCTGCACCTCTGCTCTGAAAAGAGAGCTATGCAGTGCCAGCTAGACTTCCTCCCCTCAAGATGGAGGGATTAAATGAAAATTGGCGTTTTCTTTCCTGCGGAAAGATTGCTTTAACAATCTGTAATTATTAAAATCTTGTAGAGGTGAATGCATTTACATGTGAAGCGCTTGGAGACACGCGCATACTGACGTGTGAATCAGTACATGCACGCAGTAACTGTTAGAAGTAAGAAGCTCAGGGAAAAATCAGGAGCAGACTTCTGCGTGTGCTTTCGGCAGGTGCCCGACTCGCGAGTGTCCCATGCGGATCACAGCGCACCAGTACAATCCTGAGCGGCTCCGAAAAGCCTCTGAATGCACAGTGGCCCAGAGCAAGGGCCGCATCCCCGCAGCGCAAGGAAGTTTCTCAGTGGGGAGGCCGAGGAAGGGCTGGACTGTACGTCTTTCTTTGTCCTCCTTTGGACAGGGGGCTGCAGGCACTTCCTTCTAGTCCACTCTTCCTGAGAGGTGCAGGAGAGAGCTCTTGTGTCCCAGAGAAATAAACAGTGTTTGTTTCCTTTGTAAGCCAGTCATGTGAGGTGTGAATCCACATAGAGAATAAGAACACAGGCTTAGGCACCTGCTGGGAGAGAAGGGAGACTCTCGAAGCGCACAGCCAGCAGCTCCCTTTTCCTCCCCTTCCAAAGCACTGACCCTCTGGCTGGCATGGGTGGCACTCCGACGGCCAAGTGTTGTCCTGGCCGTGCAGTGAAAGTGGGCCTCTGCTTATGGAGTCTCGGGACTGAGCTCCCCTCAGTGTCCTCACAGGTGGTGGCAGCACTCTGGCACAGTGAGCTCAGACCGCGGGTGCTTCAGCTTTCTAAACAAAGCAGGCCCAGGTTTGTGCCACCAGGACCCTGGGTGCCTGCGGTCTGCGTGGGACTGGGGCTTCACACGGACTCTGCAGGAGGATGGGCGGGCAGGTGCTGCCCAGTGAGTGGGTGCTGCCCTAGCGCTCAGTGCCAAGTGGCTCTCTGTGTCTGTGTTCGTGTTTTCTAATGTTTATTAGAAGGATGTCAAGTTGGCCAGTGGAGCGAATGGGGAGCGTGTAGCAGAAACAACCGCACATGTGGATTTAAGTGGGGCCTAGAAACCAGAACACGGCAAATTGTGAAAAAGCCAGCGAAAGACACCATCCCCTGCCCAACCATCGCGGAGTCCCGGCGATGCAAGATGACCACGCGGCACTGTCCGGGAGGTAGGTCTGCACATTCCTGGATGCTGTGTGTTTGCTGTCCCTCTCTCTTTCCCAGGAAACTGAGACAACATGGATAGGAGGTAAAATTCTACTTAGAAACAAATGCTTCAGCTGTCCAGAGTATAAAGCAAACACTTCATCTGCTTTCACGATGTCTTAAAGATAACACAGAGCCCATTGCAAACGTGCTTCTAAAATGAGGGGTGTGTGTGTGTGTGTGCATTTCCTTTTCATCAGATGTACCATAAAAACAATTCTTATGCAATCAGGACTGCAAATGTCACCTTCTGAGGGAAGCTACTGGCCAGCGTTCCATGCAGAAGTTAGGATCAGAACAGTTTCCAATCTGTGTCATTCCTTGTTGAAGGTTAAGCTCACCCAACAGTGGGGTGAGCAGTGTCCTTCTGTCACCACTGTCAGGAGGTCCCCTTTGTTTTGATAATAATTTCTACAAAGCAGCTGCTGGTCGGTGAGTGTTATCCAGGTCTTGGTGGTAACTGTGCTGAATCGCGGGCCTCACCCCGAAAGGAAGGACCGAGCCCTTCAGGGTGGGGAGAAGGCACTGCAGGAAGGTGATTCGCCCGCACTGTGAAGGCAGCAGCCACGTGGGACTGTTCGTGTATCACTGGCAGAGGCCAGGCTGCCGTGGGTGAGTCAGGGCTTTTCTAGCATGAGAAACAGAAAAGCAAAAGAGAAAGTTGGGAAAATTGGGAGATTGGAAAACAGCCAAACCAGCCAGGGTATTTTTTGCCTTCATCCTGCTGGTGCATTTTTTCAGTTTTCCACTCGGCCTGGCGAGAGGATATGAATCTGCTTCGCTGGGTTTCTGTCCCCACGGCCTGTGGAGAAGGGCTGCGATCCATGCAGGAAGACGGCCTCGAGGCCTCGGGACTCTAGCTGGCCTGCAGGCCGCTTAGGTCCAGGTCCAGACACTACTGTGGAGAAAGCAGTTTTTCCTCCTGAATTTGTTCTGCTTTTCCTTCTTGAGTTTCTGAAATGAAGTGTGTTGTCGTCTGCTTTTCACTCACAAGGGTGGTTTGGGTCACTTAAACTAGGCATTTTTTTCAGGCAAACTATAAGAAAATATTTTCCTACCCAACTAATAAGCCATTTCTTCAATAGCTGAGGGCATTTAGCCTGCAACCTTCTGCCTAAAGCTGGCCCCTGTGCCCTCAGGTACTGGACACGCAGGCCCTCCTTGTATGCTGTGTAGACAGTGGCCTCCCACTCTGGCTTTCGTTCATGGCGCGACCAGGGCCGACGTGGTCCCTCTCCTCAGAACTGTTGGGATCGGCCCTTCCTGCTGGAGACGTTCCTGGCCACAGCTAGCTGCTGACCATAGTGCACACTGCATGCTGGCTGTTACGTGCCAGCCTCATGCCTGACACTGCCGGCTGTTTCCGTCGTTCCCCAGTGTGCTTGCGTGTGACCGACCGGTGATTCCCTTGGCAGGGGACCCGGCAGCAGGCTCCGGGCTATGTTTAGCTTTGGCTGTGTTTTATGTCTTAGGAAAAACCAGCTGTCACTCTAATCCCTGTATCTATATTTTCAGTTTAATAAAATGATTTTTATGTGACCTTTAAATGAAGCTGGTCTTAAAAGTTACATTGGAATTTTTTTATCTTATTCAAAAGAAAATAAACTTAATTATTGATAGAAATGGCAATTATTTTGCAATAAGATAACTTCTATTTACAACTGTTGGACACAAAACTGACAAGATTAATTCTGAAACTTGAACAGCAGCAGTGGACTTGGCATAACTCCCAGGAGTCAGCCCACCTTGCCCCGGTGGGGAGGGAGCGGTTCCTTCTCGCATAGGTCATGGCGATCAGTGGAAGAATGGGGAGAAAACCACTTTGTCCCTTCTTACATCTTGATTTGATTTCAGTGATCTGCTTTGACAAACCATGCAAAAATGTAAGTAGTAATCAGGTTGGGAATACAGGCATTTTTCAGATCTTTTCAACATATGTATGGATTTTTCTCCTGCTGGAGCCAGTCTTAACCTGATTGCGCTCATGTGCGGCCTCCGCTGCCCTCACGCTCCAGCCTGGCACGTTAGAGTCAGCTGCTTTCTATTACAGGGGCTGAGCCAGCGGTCAGCGCGGCGAGAGCCTCTAGGTACGTAAGATGCTGTCTAGCTGCTCAGAATGAGGGAATGATGAGTGAGGGGTAAAGGTAAAAAATAAGAGAGTAACGCTCTCGCCTCTGCACTTACTGCCATGTGCTTATCCTTTGAGGAAAGGAATATTTGGGAGTTCCTAAGCAGAGGCCCGATCTCGCGCCAAGCGCCCCAGCTTGAAGTGTTCGCTCCCCAGCTTCCTCTCCACTCATGCATCTTCTCTGCAGAGCTGAGGGAGCCGGGTGGTCTCTAGGGCTCTTCCAGCTCACTTCTCGGCAGCCTGGTCTGGGATCTGGTCCTGCTCTGTCAGCTCCTTACCTGTTTGACCCCTGGCCAGTCCCCTAACTTCTCAGGGTCTCTGCTTCCTCTTCTGTCGACTGAGGTGGGTGTGCTGGTGATCTCTGAGACCTAGTGGACTGGGAAATTGGGCGACTTCAGGTGGAGGCTACGCTCCTAGACTCCTGCAGTCCCCTCCCCCACCGCAGGGCCATCCTGTTGGAACTGATTCATCCAGCACCTGGAGCTTAACTGGAAGGACTCTGTCTGGGCCACATGGTGCAGTGGGCAGTATCTTTACAGAAAGAGATAAGCATGCTCTTATCATACATTTGATATGGACCAGGACCAAGTGTCACAGGCCTGTGTGCGCAGGCTCCTGGCTCCTGCAGGCCTGGCTGACAGTGACCTCAGCATGCCGCGATTTGTCCTTGTTTGGGGGATTCCTCAGGACTTTGATAGCAGCCGTGGTGACAGTTTTGTTCATTCAGCCCATCAGATGTTGGTTGAGAACCGCTGTGGATCGCTCACTGGTGGATGTGGGATTTCTCACGTAACCCTTCGCAGCCTTTTCTGCAGTAGATAACTGCAAGCAAGCAAGAAACGTGATGAGGGAATGGCATTCTAGATGGAGGCAGAGCTGCTCCGGGCACAAGCGCGCTTCAGGGCTAGGAACTCGTTGCCGCTGGGTGCAGTGTTCTGCGTAGGCGCTTGGGACCATCGGGGAGTCTTCGTGTGGTCGGACACCCGGATAGAGGAACAATGAGACAGTCTGCTAGCTGCTGATGTGGAGGTGACTCCTGCGACTGTCCTCTGTGCGCCCACTGCATCCAGAGAAGGAGGCGTGCACCCAGGGAGAGCAGCTCGAACTGGTCCACTGTGGGGCATCCCCAGCGGTGGCCCTGGTCTTGCTTCTGAGGAAGCCTGGGCTCCCCTGTGCCTCCCCTGGTCCCTTAAGACAAGGTCAAAGGTAAAGCCATGGTTGTTCTCCAGAGAGGTCCCCAACTTTGAGCCATTTTCTCTCCATAGGAGACAGGTGCATTGTTTGCTGTGACACTTTGCCATCCTGTTTTGCCAACACAATCCACTGGCAAGAGCTGCTGGAAGCTCCTGAAGGAGGCCACTTGCCGGCAACCTGCACCTATCTGTGCTCTCACCCGGTGATCCTCCCTGTGACTCTGCTGTCACTGCTCCTTCCGAGTGGGGCATGTGGCTGTGGGACTGTCCTTTCCAGCCCTGCCCTCTGAATCAGCCCCCCAGACACTTGGCCTGGACACAAGCGGGGTGATGCGTGCTCCTCCCCAGGTCTCGTGGCTCTGAGCCCGTGTGGCAGCTCCTGCCTGCTCCAGCAGCTGGCTCCCTGCTCCCTGCAGAGGGCTGCAGCAGCGGCAGGGATGTGCTGTCAGGAACAGCGCAGGGCAGTTGTCTGAGCACCGGTCACGCCTTCTTAGCACTACAGCATTCTGCCTACACTCTTTCAAAGGGAAGAGAACTCCCTCCCCTTAGAAACATGACTTGATCATTATCTGCTGTTTTTCTTTCCTCCACAAGTGGTTCTTAACTTGGTAGGAAACAAAAGAAAATGCCATTTAGCAACTCAGAAGCTTAATCTCTGCAAACATCTGCCTTCTAAGTGGCGGTAGCACCGAGATCTCCTCGCTGTGTTTCCTGTGCATATGCTGACAGCTCACGTGGACCAGGTAGTAGGTGATAGGGCTGGAGAGGGCTGTGGCTTGTGTTGGATTAAACCAAGAGCAGGAAGTAGGCACAGTTTCAGTAGGAGAGGGTCAAGGAACTATGCGCTGGACATGTGTTCTTGATTTCTGCACATTGCGTTTACATTTGAGCTGCAGCCTATGTGGTCGGCCTCGTCCCTGCCAGCCCGCAGGGTCATTTGGAAGTGGGGACAAGGCAAGCCTGCATCCTCTGTGGCCACTGTGCTCCATCAGGGGTGGCAGCCCTGGACTTTGACATGGAGGAGCAGCTAGCAGGGTCGCCGTGGCCTCCGAATGCTGCCCCCAGTGCTCTCTGGCACCCTGTGAGACAGCCGTGATCTCTTTTATTGTCAGTTCAGCAATCTCCTGTTTCAGCAGACTGTGCTACAGTTGTGGTCTTTGCTCTTGGTGGTTGTAAACCGGGATGTTAATGGTGCTTAGTCCTCCACTGCTGTTAACAGGGGAGCACTGCCCGCAGACGCCCCTCTTGGTGGAATCTACACCTCCAGCTGTGGGCCTTGCAGAGTCTGGGGCGAGGTCCTTCCTGTTCCCTGCTCCCCTGAGTCCCACATTTTAGTTTTTATTTGTTCCTTGGAAATGAGCAGAGGCTGCCTGCTGGCCTCAGTGGTGGGAGTGCAGCATTGTGGTTCTTTAAGCATGATTTCTCTTGGGCTTGCTGATTCCCTCGGCAGAGAGGCTGAGGCAGTGGGGGCTGGCCATGGGCTCCACAGGGAACACAGCCCAGGGTGCCTGGGCACAGCCAGGACGTGAGCTTGGACAGACAGGATGCCCCCACTCCATGCAGAGCCCCCCGAGCCTCGGGCCGAGGTCTGCTGTGGAAACAGCATCTTTCCTGGTATGTTCTGAGCTGGCCAGGAGGCCCA